GTGTTACTAAATATTTATTTCAATTAACCTATTACAGCATACAATTATTAAAGTTTAAGGGAATCTTCAGTAACAATCTAACCCATTCCATATTATTGGACTGCAAATTTAATTAATTAGTAGAACTGGTTGAAAATCTGAATTTCCATTCTGCCCAAAATGTTGACATTTAGAAATTTGTTTAGTCTGAAATTGGAATGAAAATGTAAAAAAATCATATCCTACAGTTTTGCTAAAGGCCCTGTAGGAGGTCTCCTGGCATTTAATACCTCTTATTAAAGGAGTCAGGGACTGGGCACTTTGATAAAGGCTTCAGTTCTCTAAAATAGTCAATTATCATTGAAGTTAAATGTGTTAAAAACAAACCCAAAGAATCCATCCCTTCTCAATTGCTCAGCTTTCACTCTCTTGGCTCTTGCGCTGTCCCCTTTGTATTGTAATTCTTCAGTCACATGTTCCCCAGTCTCTTAAAATCAAGATTATCAATTAAACAAAAAGCAAAACTTCCAGTATTTCTGTGCACATCATTAAGAAGCAAAAACTAACCAGGTGTTTCCCCCTATTTTCAAATCCTGCCTTCAGTTAGGATAATAGAGCCCTCTCCTCTTTTTAATACCACTCTGTTTACTACTGGGGAGCTATCTCCCCTAAATCACATTTTCTCTTGAAACCAGAAGAGAGAAGAAGAGGAGGAGACACAGGAAGTGTTTTCTGAATGGCCAAAACAAGAACCAAGATGAAGGAGGTTTAAATCAAGGACATCAATATAGTTCTCATGAAACTTTGGACAGGTAATTGCAGCAGAGACAGATAGATGACTCCCCTCCTGCTCCTTGCCCCAGAGAAAAAAAAAAGTGACAGCAGCTCCCCAGAGAAAATGTGCAGATCTGTGCTCTATTCAGTATGACATGGTGCATGATAATGGTGTTCCGATTCTGCCTGGGACTGACAGAAGTGATGGAAAATTAAGGTACAGCTTTTATTGCACCTTACTTCTTCATTATGTAGGGTCAGAGGAATAGCTCTGTAGCACTGACTCAGTGCAGGCTGAACACTAGATGGAACACTTTTCACCTAGTGTGTGAATATTTACACAACACTTACTCTGCAGAGTTGTGCTCCCTTTGGGTTGGACCAGCCCCTTCCAATCATATTAACATAGGCCTGGTAGATGTCTCTGCATTACTGGGTTGCCTACATTAGCAGGGGACTGGACTCAGTCATAATCCTGTGCAAGTCATAATCCTGGGCTAAAGAGCAGGATGAGGCACCCAGCATGGCATCTTGGCCCAGGCTTTCTAATTGTCCCCTAGGGGAAGGAAGTTGTCAGTCCTATGCATGGTGTAGCTTACTTCCCCCTCCTCAGTGGCTCAATTGCCCTGGACCCTGTGTTGGAGGGGAGAGAACAGAGCCAGGGCCACAACTACCCCTGCTCCTTCCCTAGCCACCTACCTCTTCCTCATTGCCCTGCTCTCTACACAAGGATGCATCAGGCATGACTCAGTCCTTTGCTGTTTCCCCCTGACTTCCACACTCCACTCCCCATTGTTTGCAGCCATAGTGTGGCCATGTTGGTTCCAGGATAGGAGAGACAAGGTGGGGGTTGCACCTTGTACTGGGCCAGCTTCTACTGGTGAAAGAGCTTTGGAGTTGAACAAAAGCAGAGCTCTGCTAAGGTCCTGGAAAGCATCTCTTTCACCCACAGATGCTGGTAAATATTAGATAGATATAATAGATATTTCCTCCCCCATCCTGTCCTTCTATCACCCTTCATTTGTCCATTTTGCCCACTTACCAAGAATTTTCATGACGAACCTCAATTTTGAGCTAGCAGGGAGCTTTTTAAACGTATTTGTACTGTTCTGTATGGTCCCTCCACTATGATGAACCTCAATTTTGAGCTAGCAGGGAGCTTTTTAAATGTATTTGTACTGTTCCGTATGGTCCCTCCACCATGACTGGGAGCCCTGGGAGACATTGTGATACACTAGTAAATAACAATCCAACTACGGGGCACCTTTGTAAACTCCCACCCCTAGTCTGATGCTAGAACTTGCATGTCAAGTTTCAGCCTTGTTTCAATTTGTAGAATAAAGGTGGGTAATACTCTAATTCTGCTATGAAGCGTTACCTGCATGACTCCCAATAGCAAAAGTACTCTAGTCACTTGCAAATGTCTTCCAAAGAGCTGGTATTTTAAAATGGAAAGACATGGGATTGTTAACTCTGATATCCCTCTCCTAGAAATCAGCCGGGAATTACTTTTTTATTATCCTAGCTTTTCGAGTTTATTACCTGTTAGTATAAAATAAGATGCCATATTTGTGCAATTTTCATGACACTCCAGGCGAGCTTTCCAAGAAACATTGAACTATCTAGTTAATTCACAAAGCCTCTCAAAAACATACTGAAGAAAATTGAATAAGACTGAGCATAATGATCTTTTAAAACACTCTACACCAGGTAATTTTGTAAAGTAAGTGAATTTGCTAATGGGCTTTGCCAATTGTGCTTGGATGTCGGGGTTAGACAGAGATATGGGAGGTGGGGGAGCTGTCTTCAGCTGTAAAGAAAGAAAATGACGACAGGCATAGAGGTAGCCTGTCCTTGCCCTAAGTGGAAACCCATCAAGGGGACTTGGCAAGATGATTTCCATTCAATTCTCTGGCTTTATATGGAGCAACTGGGGACCAGTTTCCATGCTGGTTTCGCCCATGTACGGCACCAGGACGCTTCGCTTTGCACTGGTGATCAATCACGCCCCAGCTGGTTTCCTTGCCGCCTCAGCCCAGTGCCTTAAGCACAGCAGCTGTGCAAAAGGAACCCATCAAGGGGACTTGGCAAGATGATTTCCATTCAATTCTCTGGCTTTATATGGAGCAACTGGGGACCAGTTTCCATGCTGGTTTCGCCCATGTACGGCACCAGGACGCTTCGCTTTGCACTGGTGATCAATCACGCCCCAGCTGGTTTCCTTGCCGCCTCAGCCCAGTGCCTTAAGCACAGCAGCTGTGCAAAAGGGACCCTTTGATGCGCTCCCCGCCCATGCAGCGCGCCCGCGGGAGGAGAGGGGGGTTTCAAGGTGTCCATCAGCCGGCGCGGGACCGGGCAGTTCGGCGGCCCCGGCTCGGG